CAAACCGTCCTCAGCTATAAAGATCCAGCGTTTTCTTGGTTTGGCGGGGTACTACCGTCGATTTGTAGAGGGTTTCTCTTCTATTGCTGCACTTATGACCAAGTTGACCCAGAAGGGTGCTCCGTTCAGGTGAACAGAAGAATGTGAGGAGAGCTTTCAGAAGCTCAACACAACTTTGACTACAGCCCCAGTATTAGTATTGCCTACAGGTTCGGGGTCTTATACTGTATATTGTGATGCATCGCGGATTGGTCTCGGCGCGGTGTTGATGCAGGACGGTAGGGTGATTGCCTACACGTCCAGACAGCTGAAGGTGCATGAAAAGAACTATCATGTCCACGACCTTGAGTTAGCAGCTATTATTAATGCCTTGAAGATTTGGAGGCATTATTTGTACGGTGTTCCTTGTGAGATTTACACTGATCACCGAAGTTTGCAGTATATGTTCAAGCAGAAGGATCATAATTTGCGTCACAGGAGGTGGTTGGAGCTGCTTAAGGATTATGATATCACCAGTTTGTACCACTCTGGGAAGGCCAATGTGGTGGCCGATGCTTTTAGTAGCCGGCCAGAGAGTTTGGGGAATTTAGCATATCTACCAGCAGCAGAGAGGCCATTGGCATTGGATGTTCAGGCCTTAGCCAGCCAGTTTGTGAGATTGGATATTTTTGAGCCGAGTCGAGTATTGGCTTGTGTGGTCTCGTAGTCTTCTCTTTATGATTGTATCAGGGAGTGTCAATATGATGACCCCCATCTGCTCATCCTTCAGGACAGGGTTTGGCAAGGTGGTGCAAGAGATATGACTATTGGTGATGACGACGTGTTAAGGATGCAGGGCCGGATATGTGTGCCCAATGTAGATGGTTTGCGTGAGTTTATTCTCCAGGAGGCTCACAGCTCGCGGTACTCCATTCATCCAGGTGCCGCAAAGATATATCAGGACTTGAGACAACATTACTGGTGGAGGAGAATGAAGAAAAACATAGTGAAGTATGTTGCTCGGTGCCTAAATTGCCAACAGGTGAAGTATGAGCATCAGCGGCCGGGTGGGTTGCTTTAGAGGTTGGAGATTCCGAAGTGGAAATGGAAGCGAATCATTATGGATTTCGTTGTTGGACTCCCATAGACTCAGTGGAGGTTTGATGCAGTTCGGGTGATTATGGATAGGCTGGCCAAGTTGGCTCATTTCATTCCTGTGATGACTACCTATTCTTCCGAGCAACTAGCTCAAATCTACATCCATGAGATCGTCAGGCTTCATGGCGTACCAGTATCTATCATCTCTTACCAGGGTACGCACTTTACATCACAGTTCTGGAGAGCTGTACAACATGAGTTGGGCACTCGGGTTGAGTTGAACACAGCATTTCACACTCAAACGGACGGGCAGTCCGAGCGCACTATTCAGATATTAGAGGATATGCTTCTTGCATGTGTGATAGATTTTAGGGGTGCTTGGAATCAGTTCTTGCCACTTGCGGAGTTTGCTTACAACAATAGTTATCAGTCCAGCATTCAGATTGAACCGTATGAGGCTCTGTATGGTAGGCGGTGTCGATCTCCAGTGGGATGGTTTGAGCCAGGAGAGGCTAGATTATTGGGTACAGACTTGGTTCAGGATGCCTTGGAGAAGGTTAAGGTGATTCAGGATCGACTACACACAGCCCAGTCCAGACAGAAGAGTTATGCGTACTGGAAGGTTCGCGATGTTGCATTCATGGTTGGAGAGCGGGTCTTGCTCCGGGTTTCGACCATGAAGGGCGTTATGAGGTTCGGAAAGAAGGGCAAGTTGAGCCCAAGGTTCATTGGTCCTTTTGAGGTGTTGGGGCGTGTTGGGGAGGTTGCTTATGAGCTTACCTTACCTCCCAGCCTAGCAGGAGTTCATCCGATATTTCATGTTTCGATGCTCCAGAAGTATCACGGCGATTCGTCTCATGTATTGGATTTCATCTCAGTCCAATTGGACAAGGATCTATCTTATGTTGAGGAGCCAGTAGCTATTTTAGACAGGCAGGTCAGAAAGCTAAGGTCAAAGAACATTGCTTCCGTGAAGGTTCAGTGGATATGCGCAGCCATTATCCTCATCTTTTCACCACTTCAGGTATGTCTCCATGCTCGTTCGAGGACGAACGATTATTTTAAGAGGGGGAGGATGTAACAACCCGGCCGGTCGTTTTGAGAGTAATAGCCCCGATCCCCTATTTACTACTTCTCCCATATCTATTTCTGCTATTGTGACTTGCCGGGAGGTTTTGTTTTGGTTTTTGGAGTGTTTTGGGACACTTAGTCCCTAAATGGAGGATTAAGCCTTAGGATTTGAACCGTAGTCAGAATTGTGTGAAGACGACTCCGGAATGGAGTTCTGTCGGTTTCATTAACTCCGTAAGGTAATTTTGGGCTTAGGGGTGTGTCCGGATTAAGGGTGGCAAGTGAGCCGGTCCAGGCCCGGGACCGCGGGCCAAACGGGCCAGGACCGTTTGGCCCAGTTTTAGCGGGCCTGGGCCTGGGCCGNTATATATATACTATATATACATCTAATATATATACTATACTATATATACATTTTATATATAGTATATAAGATGTATATATAGCTTATTACTTATATCGATTTATATATATATATATTATACATTTAATATATAAGATGTATATATAGTATAGATTTGGTATCAGAGCCTAGGTACTCTCATGGTATATATAAGATAGATATGAAATATTCGACATAGATATGTTTCTGAAATATGGATTTAGGAGAAACTAGTATGAAAAATACTAGGTTGGAAGAGGTAGATATACCTTAAAACCTTGATTTGTTAAACAAATGGACTATTCCTAAAGTCCCTATTAGAACAATCTATGATTATGGATGGTTTGATAAACTCTCTTCTAAACAACTTGTTAAAACAACTGAGCAATCTTTAGCTTTGAATTCATCTGAACAGACTATTCGTTTGTTAAACAAGCATAATGTAGATATTTATAAACACCAGTATAATTATTTGCATATTGGTATGGTAGAAATTGCTTTTAAGCCATTAACCCTTAAAGGGTTACCAGAGACGTTTTTAGCCGCTCTTAGAGATGCTAGAAATCTGAATTTCAGACAGTCTCTAATGGGTTCTATTGAATCTACTGTTGCCTGCGGCCCAGTATATTTTAATACTCAACCCAATCTGCAATTATCTTTATCTGATGTTAATATACTTGATGCATTAACATTAAATGTGAAAACGCATAGTTATAATTATGTGCCTGGTTCTGAACTTATATGTTTATCGTATAGGATTTACTTTAAATTGCTATCTATGTTAAACCCAAGATGTAAATTATATGATACATCTGATCAGACCATATTAGGGGAAACGAGTTTTGCAAAGTCTAAGGTCACCACGAGGAGACCTATTAAGTGGGAGGAAATTAATTTTCCAACTACATGGACTTTGGATTCGGTTATATCCCCCA